GACAGTACCTACAGTTTATGAAAATTTATTACCAATATATACAAAAATAATTCTTAAAACTTCATAGTAGCTATAATTATTTAAATCTGATTATTTCTTGTGTTGCAAGTTTTACCAAAATATTAAAGTCGACATTCAGATGTAGCCTCCAAAATCTTCTGACACGACCCCATACCTCTGCAGGGAAATTTGGTGACCCTATGCCATGAAAAACTCTTGCTATAGCTCTACCAGTCCACTGATTATCTAAATGTGTAGACAGCACTGCACGAACACTACTGCGCACAGATGTTTCAATTTCTGGTCTAATATAAACTTGTTCTTCTAAGCGAATTTCTGACAAGACTTTGCTATTTTCCTTGAAATATTCCCTCAACTCCTCACGCAACTTATTCCCTCGTTCATCATCAACAGAATCACAGCACATGATGATAGATCCATGGGATACAGAACGCAATAACTGGTAAGTGTACTGAACCTGTCTCAGCTGATCACGTTCCTGGGTTTGAGTCCTTAGATACAAAGCATCTAATAACTGATCACACTCGTCATCACTAAGATCACCCCTTACATGCATGTGGTAGGAGAGCTCACTAAACTCAACAGTGACTCCAGACCTCTTCACTTTACCCCCTGCCACCAAGTCAAGAGTGGTCCATTCTAGAGCTTTTAATTCTTTCTTTACAATCTTGCTGTTCCAACCCATACGAGAAGCTATTTCAACCACAGGGAACACCACTTGGTTCTTGTTTTCAAGAGAGTTCCCTTTCTGACGCTCCAAAGCAATAGCAACAGCAAGTGGAGGGCATTTCCGACTCACAGCTACCAGCTGTCGGGGTCCTGCATAGCAAGACACACTACATGTGGCATAGACAGGGGAATTTATGCTAATAAGTTTGTTCTGGTGAAGTTCTAGGTAACATAACAGAGTCTCTATATTTTCAGCTGGTAAATCAAGTTCTTCAACAAGACCATCAACTGGTATAGCAACTTCATGCCTGGGACATGAGGACTTAGAAAATGTAATTGCAAATGAATCAGGATTAGAAGCACAATGTGCTGGATTATCACTACTACTCTCTGATGCAGCTGATGAGGCATTTGTTGACATATTTTCATTATCGGTCTCTTCAGCATTAACAGTAGGACATGTGTCTTGTAAATTTCTTACTTTAGCACAAGCACATGGTTTAAATATCTTGTTAAGAAGCTTTCTTACTGTATGGCGATCCATTGAGTTGACAAAGATGTGCCTTTTGAGTTCTTGGATATCTCTGCCATCTAGGGAATCTAGAAAGAGGTGACAATGAGCTTCTTTCCCATCTCGCCCTGCACGTCCAACCTCTTGGACGTAACTCTCAACATTCCGTGGCATATTAAAATGAATGATGCCTCTTACATCAGATTTATCAATACCCATTCCAAAGGCAACAGTAGCAACAACAATCCTCACTTTACCAGACATAAATTTCTTCTGTACCTGTTGTCTTCTGTGAGAACTGAGCCCTGCATGATAGGCTTCTGCATCCATTGATATGCCCTTTGTCCTTTTTAAGTTACTTTTTACATCAACCTTTGTCGGATTTAGCAACTGGGTTCTTATCAGTGTAGCAACTCTTTCACAATCATCCCTCCTTGTGCAATAAATGATTATAGAACTGCAACCTGAAAATCTGTCTCCTTGTAGAAGTGATACTAAAGCCTGCTCACGGTTTTGGTCGCGAGACACCGATAATTTGAGATTATCTGGCACTCCTCTGCCACGAATAATGCCTGTATCAAAGTCAGGAATTAGTAAATGTTTAGCAATACTAATAGCTGTTGCATGACGGGCAGTTGCAGTGAGCCCCAAGATGGTTCTCACACCTAGCCTCTCTCTCAAAACCTGGCAAATACGTAAATATGATGGACGGAAGTTGTGAGACCATTCTGAAACACAGTGAGCTTCATCAAGGCAAGCAAAGGCAACAGGCGGTAGTTCACGAAGTAGTGTTCCCAATACTCCTCCAGTGCGACTTGCAACCACTGCTTCTGGTGAAATGAGCAAAATGTGGGCTTTGCCTGATCGAATCGCGTTTACAGCATTTGAACGCTGGGTGGGATTTTGGTGGGTGTGCAGACATACTGCATGAAGAAATTTTGGAAGACCCGTCACCTGATCTTCCATGAGAGAGACAAGCGGAGACACACATAAGGTTATGCACTTGTTATGTTTGGCATAAAGGTAAGCTGGCAATTGGTAACACAAACTTTTGCCTGATCCAGTAGAGAGTACCAACAGCGTTGACTGCCCAGAAAGTATTCTCATGATTGCATTCTCTTGCCCTGCTCTGAAAGACGGGTATCCAAACATCTTTAGTGTCTCGTGCACTTCAGCAGGGGTTGGACCTACTTCACCATTAACTAAGTCATAGAGTGGTTCTATGGAGGATCGGCTTTCATACCAGTTCTGTTCATAAGATACAGGATGTGGTGAGATTTCGTCTGTCTTGCTGACGTTACTGACCTCACATCCCTCATCTGTAGGTTGTGATAAAAGTGACGCAGCAGGTTGATTATCATCTTCCTCTAATCTATCTTCATCAATGTCAGCAAAAAGATCATCATCCTCCATCTGGAAATCATCTTCTATTGTAGTTCCCCCTTGGGAATCCTCACAAATCTCAGGCTTGGTTGCTGGAGGATCAAATACTTGTTCTTCACTATTTTCTGCCTCTGTGCTAGCCACATCTAAAATGCTCTCGTTACAACTCTCATCAACTTTCCCATACATTTTGCTAGTAGAGAGACTCTGATCTGCTGGCTTAATACCAAGAGCCATTGCCGCTGCATCCTCCAAACTAAGAAAAGTGGACTCATTCTCGTCATATTCCTCTAAGGCTAACAGTTTGTCTCCTTTCTTTCCAGTGCAAAATTTGGCCCAATGACCAAAATCACCACATTTGAAGCATGTCAGAGATTTTCCTGTGGCCATGCTTTCTCCACCTTTCATGGACTGCTTTCTTTTCCACTCCATCCTCCTATATTTGCTGCCATTGATATGCTTATGGCCTCGTACAAAGGTCTTCTTCTTTAGGTTAATCCGCACAAAATTATTGTTGGCTGCTCCTGTAGTTACCTTCTTTCTAAATCTCTCCTCTTTGCTAAGGTATGCTTTTGCACCTGTTGATTTTGGTCCATGTTTCTCAATATCATCGAGTTCATTATACTCCTTGATACCATCATCTTCACCTGGTATTCTTTCAGGAGCAGTTTCATCACCTGATGGTTTTTCCATAACATTTAGTTCTTCAATATTTTTCCTAGCTTTGATCTTTGAATTCCTTACCTTCTTCGGAGGTGGCCAAGAAGACTGTATTTTTCCACTTTCTTCCAGTTCTTCCAAGGTCTGCTTCCTTTTCCTCTTGCTATTTTTAGGCACTGGTGTCTCTTCGGTATCATCTGTCTTGACCTTTGGTCTTCCTCGTTTCCGCGGAGCTGGGGAATCACTCTCTGTTTCTTCAGTGTTAACTTTCTTGGCCCTAGGTCGCCCACGTTTTCGTGGAGCTGGCTTCTCAGTATCTTCAATAATGCTTTCTTTTTCTCCATTGTCCAGCACTGATGATACACTCTCCTCAGGTATTCCATCTTCTGAATACATGGTTTGCTCTTCAAGACCTGAATTAGCTTGAGAAGTTACTTTTTTACTGTACTTTTTAGTCTCCACTTCTTGCATTGTTAATGCTAAATCCATTGAACCACTTTGGTTTGATGCAACTTCATAAAAATCATATACATCTTTGCCAGCTCCATCTTCTCTGTCACAATCAATGGAGTTACTACTAAGAGAGTCCTCTTTAGTATGAAGAGCTTTAGTCTGCCTCTTCTGCACTGTGTTCAATTCCTCATTTTTTTCTGAAGCTCTACCAAGATGCAGCTCCTTAACTGGAGTCTGATATTTCTCCACATTCTCTTGAAATTCCGTACCTTTAAATTCACTGGAATAAACATCTTCATTGTTGCTATTTTCATTCCATTCTTTATCAATTATCTTTAATTTCCAGTCATCAGATGCCCTTGCTTCAGCCCCAACAGTTAATTCTGCTCCAGCACAGCGTTGCAACCAACCACGATTAAGTGCACCTTTTTTCTTTGCAGTATGAGTTTCCTCTAGTCTTTCAGGAGTGAGGGAAAGTGCACTAACTGCTTGTGTCTGCATTTTTTGTGTCACTGTCTTTTTCTGAAATCGGAATGGTAATTTAGAACTACCAAATAAGTTTGGTTCAGTGTCTAGATCATTAGATGCTTTCTCCTGGAAATCATTCAAGGAGTCAAACACTGACACTTTCTTGGTCTCGGAAGATTTTTCCAATGTTTCCTCAAAGGGTTTGACAGGAGAATTTATAATTTCTGTTGTGTTACTTGCATTTTCTTTATCACTGCCATCAGAAAATCTGTTCTTTGCATCCAAATCTATGGAAGGCTTCACTACACTTTGGCTTGCACCTATTGATTCCCTTTTTGTAGAACGATCTATATTTGAAAATTTCTTTAAGGAGGTTCTCATTTTGATAGTGCCACTAGCACGCATCTTTTCTGCCATTTTGCTATAGAGAGACCCAGGGCTATCTTCATTCTTACTCGTGGCTCTAGCAAGGTAGGCATCCTTATTCAAGTGTTTTCCCCATATCCCACTACTTAATTTTGGCCCCGACATTTGAGAAAATTTCCCTGCATTTGAAGGGGTACTTGTTTCTCCTGATAATAGGTTGTTGCTCTCAGGATCTGAGGTAATTCTTTTGCTTTCTGAGTCCTCAAATTGATGATTTACTTCTTTAGAATGTTGATTGATTCCCTGACTGCTATTTTGTTCTGTTCCCTCACTTTTGTCTTCACTATTTTCATGTTTGTCTTTAGACTCCTTTTCCTCTGTCTGTTCTGCACTTGCACCTGAGTTTTCAATGCGTTTGCGATAATGAAAATAGGTCTTGTATGCTGCTTTTATGTCATCAGGTGCTGCT